AGAACTCAGGGCCCCACTCCTCAATGCGCCCCCAGAGAAAAGCAGTCAATCACTCCCATCTCCCCGGTCTCCGGCTGCACTCCATGCTCACCCAGCCTGTGACCGTGCGTTTCAGTCTCTGGCACATGACCCCATGTGGAGTCTCCAAACCCAGCAGATCCCTGCAGTGTGCTCCCATGCCACTCCTCCAGAGGAAGGAAGGGGAGTCTCCCCCAATCTGCCGCTTGTGGAGTCCCTGCTGGAAGAGCAGTGGCCCGACTGTGCCGCGCATCACAATTTATGGCAACCCTGAGCTGAGAGCTTGCTCCTTGGCTCCGTCTCTGCAGCTGGCTTCCCCACTCTGATACCTGGGAGCTCTGCTGCACTCAGGCACCCCCGGTCTTCCTGTGACCCCGAGGGTCCTGAGACCACACTGTCCCGCAAGGGTTCCACCCCCCGCTTAGCCACTGGAGTGATGTCCCTCAGCGGAGCCGACTTCTAAAAGTTCCGATTTTGTGTTCTGCTGCTGTATCACTTGCCAGTAGCAGCTGACAGAGGCCCCCTCCCCCGCCATCTATCTTCCCAAATATCACCTCAGATTCACTTCTCCGCACGTCCTACCTTCCAAAGAGTGGTCGCTTTTCTGTTCAGAGAGTTGCTGCTACTCTTTTCTTTGATCTCCTGTGGAGTTTGTAGGTGTTTGGAATGGTTTGATCCCTATCTAGCTGAATTCCTGGGACCAGAAGAAATTTAGGTCTCCTACTCCTCCACCATCTTGCTCCTTCCCCCATACATAATTAGTTTTTGATGTAGTGATCCACGATTCATTGAATCGTGTTTCCAGGAATTTAAAAAAATTCTTCTTTAATTTCCTGGTTGACCCATTCATTCTTCAATAAGATATTCTTTAACCTCCATGTATTTGTGGTCCTTCCAATTTTTTTCTTGTGGTTGACTTCACATTATAGCATTGTGGTTTGAAAATATGCATGGTATGATCTCAATATTTTTTTACCAGTTGAGGCCTGATTTGTGACCTAGTATGTGATCTCTTCTGGAGAACATTCTATGTGCACTTGAGAAGAATATGTATTCTGCTGCTTTGGGATGAAATGTTCTGACTATAGCTATAAAGTTCATCTGGTCCATTGTGTCAATCAAAGTCTTTGTTTCTTTTTTGTACTTCTGCGTAGAGGATCTGTCCATTGCTGTGAGGGGGGTATTAAAGTCCCCTACTATTATTGTATTATTATCAATGAGTTTCTTAATTTTGTTATTAATTGGTTTATATATTTGGCTGTTCCCACATTAGGGGCATATATACTTACAATTGTTAGATCTTCTTGTTGGATAGACCCTTTAATTATGATATAGTGTCTTTCTTCATCTCTTATTACAGTCTTTGGTTTAAAATCAACCAAGTTGTTTGTTTGATATAACAAAGAGTTATTGTTTGTGTGATATAAGGGTTGCTAATTTAATTTCCATTAGCATGACCAATGGTTCTCCACCCCCTTACTTTCAATCTGGTGGTTTCTTTGAGTCTAAAATGAGTCTCTTGTAAGCAGCATATTGATGGGTCTTATTTTTTTATCCATTTTGATACCCTATGTCTTTTCATTGGAGTCTTGAGTCCATTTACATTCTGAGTAATTGTTGAAAGATATTAATTTAATGCCATTGTATTACCTGTAAAGCCACTGTTCCATAGACTGTCTCTGTTCCTTTCTGATCTTATTTACTTTTGGGCCCTGTCTTCATTCAGATGATCCCCTTTAATACTTCTTGCAGGGCTGGCTTTGTGTTCACAGATTCCTTTAGGTTTTGTTTGTCTTGGAAACTCGTTATCTCTCCTTCTATTCTGAATGACAGCCTTGCTGGATAAAGTATTCTTGGCTGATTTGCAACAACGTGGATGGAACTAGACGGTATTATGCCAAGCGAAATAAGTCAATCAGAGAAACACATGTTTCATATGATCTCACTGATATGAGGAATTCTTAATTTCAGGAAACAAACTGAGGGTTGCTGGAGTGGTGGGTGGTGGGAGGGATGGAGTGGCTGGGTGATAGACATTGGGGAAGGAATGTGCTATGGTGAGCACTGTGAATTGTGCAAGACTGTTGAATCACAGATCTGTACCTCTGAAACAAATAATACATTATATGTTAAAAAAAAAAAGAAGAAAGGAAAAACGAAGGGGGGGAAATCAGAGGGGGAGACGAACCATGAGAGACTATGGACTCTGAGAAACAAACTGAGGGTTCTAGAGGGGAGGGGGGTGGGGAGATGGGTTAGCCTGGTGATGGGTATTAAAGAGGGCACGTATTGAATGGAGCACTGGGTGTTATACATAAACATTGAGTCATGGAACACTACATCAAAAACTAATGATGTAATGTATGGTGATTAACATAACATAATAAAATTTTTTTAAAAAGTATTCTTGGTTGCATATTTTTCCCATTTAGCACACTGAATATATCATGCCCATCCTTTCTGGCCTGCCAGGTCTCTGTGGACAGGTCTGCTACCAGCCTATGTGTCTACCATTGTAGGTTAAGGACCTCTTGTACCAAGCTGCTTTCAGGATTTTCTCTTTATCTCTGTAATTTGTAAGCTTCACTATTATATGTTGGGGTGTTGACCTATTTTTATTGATTTTGAGGGGTTTTCTCTGTGCCTCCTGGACTTGAATGCCTGTTTCCTTCCCTAGATTAGGGAAGTTCTCAGGTACAATTTGCTCAAATAAACCTTCTGCCCATTTCTCCCCCTCCTCCTCTTCTGGGACCCCTATTTGGATATTATTTTGCTTTATGGAATCACTGAGTTCTCTAAGTCTCCCTTCACGATCTAATAGTTTTCTTTCTCTCTTCAAGTTCCTTATTTTCCATCATTTACCTTCTATATCACTGATTCTCTCTTTTGATTCATTCATCCTCATTTTTATAGCCTCCATTTGGGATGGTGTCTCAGTAATAGCATTTTTAATTTTGGCCTGACTAAGTTTTAATTCTTTTTATCTCTACAGTACAGGATTCTCTAGTGTCTTGTTTGCTTTTTTCAAGCCCAGCTAGTATCTTTATTATTGTTGTTTTAAATTGTAGTTCAAACATCTTACTTATATTTGTATTGATTAAATCTCTGTCAATAAGTACTACCTCCTTTGGGGTGAATTTCTCTGTGTTGTCATTTGGTCTAGAAAAGAAAAGAAGAAAGAAAGGGAAACAACAATGACAAAAGAAAAAGCAAAAGAAACAAAACAAAAACAAAAACAGAACTAAACAAAAAACAAAACAACAAGTTGGATCCTGGGTGTGTTTTGGTGTGCTTGTTAAAAGAAACTAGATCCCATGGGCACCTGGGTGGCTCAGTCGTTAAGCGTCTGCCTTTGGCTCAGGTCATGATCCCAGGGTCCTGGGATCGAGTCCCACATCGGGCTCCCTGCTCAGCGGGAAGCCTGCTTCTCCCTCTCCCACTCCCCCTGCTTGTGTTCCTGTTCTCACTGTCTCTCTTTGTCATATAAATAAATAAAATCTTTAAAAAAAAAAAAGAAACTAGATCCCAAAATAAGAAAGAAGCTGAAAGTTCACACCCCTCACTCCTCAGTGAGCCCTCACAGAAAAGCAGTCAATCACTTCTCTCCCCAGTTTCAGTCCAAACTCTTGTACACCAGACCTGTCACTGAGCGTTTTTATCTCAAGCACATGACTGAATTTCAAAACTTCAAGTTTTATGGACTCCTGCAGCACAGACCCATGCTGTTCCTCCCAGGGGATGGAAGGGGGTCTCACCATGCTTCTGCCTTTGCTGGACCCCTGCCAGGAAGGTGGTCACATGACCATGCAGCAGTTCACAGTTAATGGCAACACAGAGCACTGTTTTCAGCCAGCTTCCCCACTCTTGTGCCTGGGAACTCTGCCACACACAGACACCCCTGTTCTTCTTGTGACCCTGGGGATCCTGAGACCATCCTTTCCCACCTGGGATTCTGCCCTGCTTCACCACCTGAGCACCTTTAAACCAGGGACATACCCCACTGTAGCAGAATTCTAGCTTTGATTTTGCTCTCTGTTACTTATAACACTTTGCAGTAGCCTCCTTAAGCAAGCCCCTCCCCCTCCACTGTATCCTCAGATATATCACCCCAGCTCAAGTCTCCACACCTCCTGCCTTCCAAAAAGTGGTCACTTTTCTACTTGTAGAGTTGCAGCATTTCTTTTCTCAGATCTCTGATTACTTTCACAGATGTTCAGAATGATTTGACAACTATCTAGCTATATTGAAGAGACAAGACAAACCTAGGGTCCCCTTACTCTTCCAACATCTCTCCTCCCCATGAGATCAGACTTTAATTTTAGATATTCTGGTATGTGTGTAGAAATATTTCATTGTTGTTTTAATTTTCATTTCCCTAATGATTAGTGATATTGAACATATTTTCATATGGTTTTTGTCATCTGTATTTCTTCTTTGGGGAAACATCTGTTCAATCTTTTGCCCATTTTTACTTGGATTGTTTTTTTTTTTCTTAGTATTGAAATTTGAGGGTTCTTTATATATTCTGAATACAAGTCCTTTATCAGATATGTTATTTGGAAATATTTCCCCCAATGTGTGGTTTGTCTTTTCATTCTTTTAACAATGTCTTTCAAAGAGTATTATTAATCTCATATTGATTATTATTACCAGCATGTAGATTGTGTCATTTACTCATCAGAAACTGGTGAAGGAGCTATTACTATTCCAATTTTGCAGCAAAGAAACTGAAGTGCAGAGGAGTTTTTCACTTGCCCAAGGTCACAAATTAGTAAGTGGTGGAACCAGAACTCGAAACTGGGGCCTTCTGAATCCATGGACTGGGCTCTGAACCCCAGTTCTAAACTAATACTCACACTTTGGGTGTTGAGATGAAGGTCCATTCTAGGAAACTGTTTGGCACCATAACCTCTGCAACTACAATGATGCAGTTTTGCCAAGCCTCTTCCCATGCTCCCACTTTTCTATCTTCTTTTCTCCAGACTGGTTGAGGAAGTGAAGGAGCTGTGTGATGAACTGGAATTAGAAAATGAAGATGTTTACATGGCAACCACTTTTGGGGACTTCATCCAACTATTAGTGAGAAAGCTACGAGGGGATGACAAAGACTACGAGTGCATCATTGACTATGTGAGTCCTGGGCCTTCCACATGGGCTTGGCCCTACAGACACCCACATCTGTGGATCCACAATGACACATGGGGGAAATCTGGACATCAGGAAGGCAGGGCACCTAAGAGCCCACCTTCAGTGTCCCAAGCTCTCCCTGGTAACCCTGGATACCCTGAGGGTGCCAGTGCAGTTAGGCAAATACAACAGAGGAAATTGTTATCTATAGAACAAATTCTGATCCCCAAGACATGAAACTAGGATATATTTTTTTATTTAAAATATTTTTTGAGAGAGAGAGAGATTGAGCATCAGCATGGTGGGGAGGGGCAGAAGGAGAGGGAGAGAAACTTAAGCAGGATCCACACCTAGCATGAAGCCAGACATAGGGTTCACGACCTGAGATCATGACCTGAGCCAAAATCAAGAGTTGGATGCTTAACAGACTGAGACACCCAGGGGTCCTGAAACTATGGTATTAAGAAGAGACTGGGATGCCTGGTGGCTCAGTTGTTTAAGTGTCTGCCTTCAGCTCAGGTCATGATCCGAGGGTCCTGGGATCGAGTCCCGAGTTGGGCTCCTTGCTCAGTGGGGAGCCTGCTTCTCCCTCTGCCTGCTTCTCCCCCTGCTCGTGCTCTCTCTCTCTCTCTCTCTCTATTTCTTTCTCTCTGTCTCTCTGACAAATAAATAAATAAATAATCCAAAAAAAGAGAGAGACTTTTACAGTGCACTTCTCACCCTCCTCCTTTGGTGGTTTTTCCCAGTAGTGGCCTCATCTCTCCTGTGGCTCCAGCCCCTGCCAGATCACCCTGCCAAGACTCTAGTTCCTCTGGGGGACTCTAGACCCTAGTTCTGGTCCCACCACTTTCCTGTCCTTCTAGTCTAGTAATGTCTGGGACTGCCTGCTATTGTCAATCTCTGGGTCAATCTCTGGGTGGACTCATGGCCTCTCAGCTCTTTCATCACCTGTGAAACCAATTTCCTGCATTAAATTCCTTTTGTTGAAATGCCAAAAGAGGAAGAGAAAGAAAGGGAGAGAGGGAGGTAAAGGGGAGAAAGAGAAAAGAAAGAGAGAGAATGGGGAATTGGGAATATTTTCCTATTAGCAAAACAAGTGATCCTATACATTCAACTAGTATATATGGAAGTGTAATGATACAATTGCAAATTATATACATATATATATATATTTAAGATTTTATTTATTTATTTGAGAGAGAGAGTGAGAGAGAATGAGTAGGGAGAGTAGTATCTCCACTGAGCAAGGAGCCTGATACGAGGCTCAGTCCCAGGATGCTGGGATCATGACCTGAGCTGAAGGCAGATGCTTAACCGACTGAGCCACCCAGGCACCCCACAAATTTAATTTTAAAACAGACTCTTGAAAAATCATTCTGAGGTGTCTTGGTAGGCTACCAGCTCCCATAGGACTCAGCATTGGGATAATTTGTTTGGAACAAAAGATGAAGTGACCAGGTGGCCAGGATGAACACCAGGTTGACCTTGGGATTGTGGACAGATGATTGATTAACAAATTTCAGGAGAAAATGACATCCCAAAGGATGCCATTCAGTGTGAAATTTCAGGTCTATAGGGAAGTGAGCAATGGAGTTGGCGTCATGTCTGGTGACTCACAAGTGTCTGTCTACCTGCTGGCACTTCCTACGTGTGGAGGCCAGGCAACAAGCCTGAAGTTACACAGTGGGTAAATGGCAGGACTGGGGTTGTAGCCCAAGCAGTCTGGCCTCAGATTCTGTGCCATCTCTTCTTATCACTCAGCTGCCACCACTGTGCACATAATAGCTCATTGGGCCAAGGAAGGCAGCAGGACCAGATTTGGCAAAAGAAACCTGAGAAGGCTGAAGGACCTTGAGCCCTGGCCCCTTTGGCAGTGTGTGCATCTGTGTTTGTGTGTGTGTGGTGTGTGCACAAGTGGTTACCATCTGTCTGTGAGTGTTTCCTGTGTCTCTCTGTGGATTTGTATCTGTCACTGATGCACCATGTGAAGAATCCACACTGCAGCTAACACCTGCAAAAACTCCCTTCCCAGGTGGAAAAGGCAATAAACAAGCTGAACCTCCGAATGCCCCACCAGCTCTTCATTGGGGGCATGTTTGTGGATGCTGAGGGTGCCAAGACCTATGAGACCATCAACCCAACAGATGGAAGTGTGAGTGCGGGCCTAGAACCCCCTCCTACCCTCTCTCCCCCCTTCTTACCCCATAGCCTCTTCTCCCATCTACTCCACCACCTGGCATCTGGGGATTCTGGCCCAGGAGGGCCTCTGCTTGGACGCAGAAGGGTTGCAGTCATTTTCCAGTCCTCCCTACAGGAATGGCCCAGAGGGGAGAAATGGCAGGGAGTCAGGAGGACTCTAAAAGTCTGGAGCCTGCTTCATAGAATGGGAACAGAGTTAAACCACCCCCCCACGCCCCGCCCCAAAGAGGAAATGAAGCCATTCCCTCCTCCTCCACACTTCAACAATAACCCTAGCATGGCCCCTATCTTCTTGAATATGTGTGCACCCTACTGTTGGGAAATTCTTCTTGAATCCCATGTTTGTCAGACTGTCTTGACAGTGACCCTCTTATGGGGAATTGGGAATATTTTCCTATTAGCAAAACAAGTGATCCTATACATTCAACTTGTATATATGGAAGTGTAATGATACAATTGCAAATTATATACATATATATATATATATATATTTAAGATTTTATTTATTTATTTGAGAGAGAGAGTGAGAGAGAATGAGCAGGGAGAGTAGTATCTCCACTGAGCAAGGAGCCTGCTACGGGGCTCAGTCCCAGGATGCTGGGAGTACAGTACACAGTACACAGTACACAGATACTGTATTCTCTTATGCACACACCTACCTGAAACAACACTTGCTCCTACAGGTGCATACTGATAGTTTTCCATTCTGCCCCACCCTATAGCATCCTTCAGGGCCTGCAGAAAACAGATAGCACACTCAAAATGAGTCCTTTGAGGGGAGTTTAAAGAAAGTGATGGACAAAGGGGTGGACAGGGAGTGGGGGCACACACAAGGGGGTGCAGTGCCCTCAGGCAGAAATCGGGAGCTGTTACCACCTTGAGGCCTATTTTGAGAATCCCAGAAAGGAGGTTGTGTGGACAGGGCTGCCTGGGTGCTGGGGTCTTGGGCAGGGAGGGTGCACCTTACCTGTAGTGACCAGCAAGGTGCTGGCCTTGCCTCTCCCACTTCTGTCTCCTCCTGGCTTTCCCTTTGGTCAAGCCCAGGTGGCAGGCGGTGTGGGAGCCTGCCCTGTAGTGCATGTGGGCACTGTCAGGACACAGAACAAGGATGGGGGACAGGAATGTTTCTGCTACCATCAATGTCTAGACTATTTCACTTAAAAATAAACCTTCCACCTGGGACTCACTAAATTAATGGGCTTCTGTTCTTGGCTTGAAAACACTTAGCTGATCCTCAGCCTTGTAGCTGCAGCCTGAGTCTGTTGCCCTATTTGGGCTCAGTGGCAAGTGAAAAGAAGGATCCTGGTATGTGGAAACACAAATAGGTCTCTCTGAAGGCCCTTGCCTTTCCTAATTGTGCACACCCTTCCAGGGCCCTCCCATTGGCCGGCCATCCCCTCTGAGCCCTTCCAGGTGGCCAGGGGAGTGGGTGGTGTGGGGCTTCTGTGTACATGGAGTCCAGGGAGGGCCTCACAGCTCTGATCCACCACAGGTCATCTGCCAGGTGTCCCTGGCCCAGGTCAGCGATGTTGACAAGGCAGTGGCTGCCGCTAAGGACGCCTTTGAGAACGGATTGTGGGGGAGGATCAGTGCACGGGACCGGGGCCGGCTCCTGTACAGGTGAGAGCCCCACAACCACCTGTCAGACACCCGACCTTTGGCTTGGGTTGGGGCTGCATGCCTGGGTCCTGCTAGGAGGAGGTGGGGTCCTGGACACATTTGTGTGACCAAGGCCTGAGGCTCAGAAAAAGTTTCTCAGAAGAAGTGGCTTGAGAGACAGGAGGGATTTCACCAGACACAAGTAACCTTGAAAGGAAAGGTGTCCTCGGTGGAGGGGACAGTGTGATAGAAGATGAGAGGGTACAAAAGTGAAGGTGCTAATCAGATCGGAGCAGCAAACTGGCAAAGCTAACAGATGGTCCTGGGCAGATTCAGACAGGTACAGAATTTACCTGGAGTGGCCTGGACTGGAGGTGGGATCAAGGCTACTTTATGCCGAAGCCAGCAAAGGAAGGATGGAGCCTGTTCTTGTCTCCAAGACCTCTCAAGACCTGTCTGCTGGTCCTTGCTCAGCTTGACCCTGACTGCTGGAATCTCACACTTCCCTTTTTTTTTAAACCAGGGCAGAAGGGACTCTCTCCCCTTAGTTCTATCAGAAATCTTAGGGAAGGACTTGGGGTTGCTCCAGCTTATGAGAATGGGGTGGGAGTGAGGCCTGAAGGAGAAATACTGCTCCCTTAGAACCAAGTGGTCCCAGTGGGGGAGGAGCAGCCACCCCCAAGGAAGTGGAGTGATGTTTCCAGAAGGGGGGCTGCTGGGCAGATGAACTAAACAGTGATGAAAAGACTGGTGATCACTGCTTTGTAATATAGCTTGAAAGACATACAAATGGCTAACAGACACATGAAAAAATGTTCATCATCATTAGCCATCAGCCTTACGTCCACAGCCATGAATGTGGTGGTGGCCCATGCTGCTGTTAGGGAGCCAGGGGGAAGCAAGGCTGAGCCTGCCTGGCACCCCACACTTGCCCTTCCTCATGTATATCCAGCCAAATCAAAACCACACTGAGATACCACCTTACACCAGTTAGAATGGCAAAAATGGACAGGGAAAGAAATAACACATGTTGGAGACGTTGTGGAGAAAGGGGAACCCTCTTACACTGTTGGTGGGAATGCAAGTTGGTACAGCCACTTTGGAAAACAGTGTGGAGGTTCCTCAAAAATTTAAAAATAGAGCTACCCTAGGACCCAGCAATTGCACTACTGGGTATTTACCCCAAAACACAAATGTAGTGAAAAGAAGGGCCATATGCACCCCAATGTTCATAGCAGCAATGTCCGCAATAGTCAAACTGTGGCAAGAGCCGAGATGCCCTTCAACAGATGAATGGATAAAGAAGATATGGTCCATATATACAATGGAATATTACTCAGCCATCAGAAAAGATGAATACCCAACTTCTACATCAACATGGATGGGACTAGAGGAGATATGCTAAGTGAAATAAGTCAAGCAGAGAAAGTCAATTATCATATGGTTTCACTTATTTGTGGAACATAAGGAATAACATGGAGGACATTAAGAGAAGGAAGGGAAAAATGGGTGGGGGGAATTGGAGGGAGAGATGAACCATGAGAGACTATGGACCTGATAAACAAACAGGGTTTTAGAGGGGAGGGGGGTGGGAGGATGGGTTAGCCTGGTGGTGGGTATTGAGGAGGGCACATTCTGCATGGAGCACTGGGTGTTATACGAAAACAATGGATCGTGGATCACTACATCAAAAACTAATGATGTATTGTATGGTGACTAACATAACATAATAAAATTAAAAAAAAAAAGAAGTAAAAAAAAAAAGAAAAGACTGGTGAACAAGCTGGTTTTAGGAATCTGGCTTTTGTGCTCTGGGTCCTGGGGAAGCTGTCAGGCATACAGCCTGGTCATGATGTGGTCCAAATGTGCTTGTCATCTGGTGGGAGAGAGACCCCGTCTTGGCCTTGCAGTCAGAATGCCATTTTTTTCTATTCTAGAGACCAGACACACCAGGATAGCCCCCAGCACAACGAACCAGAGAGGGGGTCCTGTATGGTTTTGAAATGGAAGAAATGGTGGGGTTTGGGGCAGACCAAAGTGCACCCAACCTGCCATAACTCAAGTTAGTTTCAAGACCCCTTGAAGAGCCCATCAATTTTAGGAAGCCATTGGCTTCCTAGAGCCCCCAGATTAGGCAAAACTGAAACGTGAAAGCCCAGGCTTACGGTGCTGAGCCTTCTGGCCCCGAAGCAGGGACTCTAATGGTAGATTGTGCTGGCCCAGAAGAGGTTTTGTTCCTTGAGGTGCTCTGCTGCCATCTAGTGGCACATGCCATAATAACACCACTAGCAACACAACAGTGAGGGGTTGGTCCCTGCGCAGCTCTAAGTAGAGACCTGGACTGCTTGGACACACATCTCAAGGCCAGGCCTGAGAGCTCCTAACAACCCGGTCCCTGCTTCATGCAGTCTCCAAGTCGCCATGGTGGAGGTGTGCCCATTGCTGGCCCAGGAGGGAGCAGCCCCTCGTTCAATGAGGAAAACAGGACCACCATGGATAGATATTATGGAATACAGAATGCATTGTAGGGATAAGTTGGGAAGAAAGATCCAGAAAGGAATGTTAGAGAAAGTCACTAGACAGCTCCAAGAACCACTGAGGGACAGGATAGAGCCTCTCAGGAACCTGGAGAGCCAGTGTCCCCAACTGCCAGAGCAGGACCACCAAGAGCTGGTGGGAGAGTCTGTGGGAAGCTGTCACCTTGTGTTCAGACACTTCCTTACGTCCACAGCCAAGAATGTGGTGGTGGCCCATGCTGCTGTTAGGGAGCCAGGGGGAAGCAAGGCTGAGCCTGCCTGGCACCCCACACTTGCCCTTCCTCACGTCTATCCTGCAGACCTATGAGGTGATGGAGGTTGCTTCCTCTGCTTCCCCCACTGGCACTTTCTGGGGGCAGGACTCTGGGAGGCAGAGCTGCAGCTTGACAAAGTTGACGGTAGAACAATCCCACTCAGTTCTCCTGGAAGAGCTTCCCAAATGGTGTGCTCGGGTGATAGTTACTTTAGGGATTTATGACATGGCCACATCACATGCACGTGACATTGTCTGGCAGAGTTGGAGGGATTTGGGGCTGATCAAGGAAAAAGATATGACCATGAGCAGTAGTAACACGCAATGGGCTTCATGGCATGGTTGCCCCCACAGGGGGAGACCCTCCAGAGATTGTAGTCAGGGGGTCCCTACTCAGAATGGGAGGGGTGCGAGGGAACTCTCGGGGCCAGGGGGTCAGGGAGGGGGCTCCCATGTCCCGGCACTGTTGCTCAGTAGCAGAACAGGAGTCTCTGGGTCAGAGGGCTGGGAAAGGCAGCAGTTAAAACTGCACGGTCCATCTCACCAATGGTAACAGCTGTCAAGTGAGGTTCCTGGAGGATGCAAAGCAACAAGGCTCTAAATGGCTAAAAGTCTGCTTGTTTGGACTATTTTAAAAATAATTGGATACATTAACGTGTATTCAGCAACATTTTGAGCTGACAGGTCTCACCCTGCAATGAAGATGTGAACAACCTAGGGGCCAATACACAGAGGCCATCTTTGGCTTATTTATAATATAGATTTATGCCTTTGGCACATCTGTTTTTCTAGTTGATGAAACCCTAGGCCTTGAAATGCCACAACACAGTGTTTCCCTTATTTGGTCTAGAATAGTTCTCAAAAAGTGATTTACACCTTTGTTATTCTTAACTAGAGAATTACCTGGGTATATCACCATCTCTGAGGTAACAGTGTGGCTCTGCCACTAAATTGCTTGTGTCTGTTTGGTCCACTTTCACTCACCAGCCTTGTGGTGCATGCTGACTGTGTGCCCGGTGGGTGTAGGAGGTCCAGGAAGGAGCAGAAGACCAAATACTGTCCCAGCCCTCAGAGAGAGGCACATAGTACTAGAATACTTGTCTAAGAGGGTATCTGTAATAGTCAGGCGAGGTTTGAAGAAAGAGGGAGGGTGCTAGGAGGACACTGCAGGGAGATATGATTGGTGTGGGATGAGGGTTGGCTTCCCAGAGAGTGTGAGTATGTAATTGGGAGTTTAAGACATGCCATGGCTGTGTGCAGAGAGGAGCAGCTCAGCAGGCTTTGGCCCCAGACTCATCACTGGGCCAGAGCTCCCCCATGTACAAAATTGAGAGCTGCTCTAGATCTGTGGTCTCCACCTTCCCCTGCCCACCCTGCCCCCTGGGTACCCTGCTCCCTGAGCTCCCTGACATCAGGGAAGGGGGCAGAGTCCTAATACCCAGGCTGCCCATAGCAGCATACCCACCAGAAGCATGGGAGGGCAGCTGGCTGTCAGAGTGCTCACACTTAAGGAGGGCTGTGTAGATGCACCTTCCCTTGAATCTCTCCCATCATCCCCCCCCAACTTCCCACAGATGTCATCTGTGGGGGCGCACTCCATTGGATCGGCTGGTGCTTGAAGCCAGACATGATTTCCCCTGGTTAAGGCTGTCCAAGACGGAGAGGGTGGCCTTTTGGAATGGTAACTTTCTTATTATAGAGGCAGAGGGACGGTTTTTGCAGGATTATTTGTAAGCATTATTATAAAGTAGTTAATCCATCAATATTTGAGAAAGGAAGAAAGGAAAAGAGAGGAGAGGAGAGGAGAGAGGGACAGAAGGGCACACTCACCCAGCAAAGGAGACCTTACTGTCCCATCTCACAGATGGGGAAACTGAGGTGAGCACATCGGAGTGTGGCAGAGCTGGGAGTGCAGGGCCGGGCCCCTGACTCATTGAAGAAGGGCCTTGAAAGAGCAGGCAAGGCTGTTCCAGGCCTGAACCCATCTGCCTCCTGTCCCCACCCACCCCCTGGCCAGGTTGGCAGACCTCATGGAGCAGCATCAGGAAGAACTGGCCACCATCGAGGCTCTAGATGCAGGTGCTGTCTACACATTGGCTCTGAAGACCCATGTGGGCATGTCCATCCAGACCTTCCGCTACTTCGCTGGCTGGTGTGACAAAATTCAGGTGAGGCTGAGGCTCCTGCCCACCAAGTGAGTTCACATAAACAGGCTGGGCCCAGCAGGAAACTCTGAGGGCAGTGCGTTAGGCTGCATGCGCATAACAAACGAGCACAGCTTACTGGCTTAAAACAACCCCATTTATCAGCTCACATTTCTGCAGATGGGAAGTCCAGGCAGGCTGGGCTGGGTTCCATGCCAGGGTTTCACAAGGACAGTGTCAAGGTGTGCCCAGGCTGGGCTTTAGCTGGAGGCTTTGGGGAGACCCTGCCTGCAGGCCCATTCAGGTATTGGCAGAGATGCAGGACTGAAGCCCCGGTCCTTGCTGGCTGCTGGCCAGGGCTGCTCTCAGCTACTGCAGGCCTTGCTCTGGCCCTTGCCCCAGCCCTCCATCCCCTTGCCATTCTCAGGCTTGGCATTCGTCTGCCATGAACTGAAGAAAACTTTGCCTTTGTGGGGGCTCCTCAGGTGGTTCTGGGGACACCTGCATCATCTCCCCTTCTTAAGGTCAACTGTGCCATTCCACATCTTTGCAGGAGTAGCTCGCCATCTCCCAGATCCCAGGGATCAGAGTGTGACCATGGGAGCCATTTTCAGAGATTTGCCCGCCATAGGCAGTGATGGGACACCCACCAGCGAGGGTTTTGTGGGGTCTCTGCCAGATCTGGGCTTCACGCCATCGGCTTCACGCCCTCTGTCCTCTCCATGGGGCTGAGGGGTGCAGGTGTGATGGAAGGCCCACCTTCTGCTCCTGCTGCTGCTGCGTCTCTGCTGGCTGGAGCTGCCCCCCCCCGGGGCCTCCTGGGCTAGCACGGCCTCCAGAGGCAACGTGGCCCCCCACTCCCCGCTTCCTTGCCTCAGTGTCAAAGCCAGAGGTCTTACCTGTACCAGGACCAACTTCCCACCTGAGGGCTGTGCCAGGCCCAGTGCAGCAGGCACCTTGCGCCTGTTGGCTGCCCAGTCCACCTCTATCTGGAGTCTTCAGATGCCCCTGTCATACATAATCTGGAAGGTTTGGGTCTCTTACCTGTCTGGTTCATGGGGGCTTCAGGACGCAGACAAGACTGTTTAATTCTGAGCTCCAGGCACAGTCTGGCTGCCCAGGGGGAACGGGTGAGGAAACAATGGAGCCCCCTCCCAAGTGACCCCCCCCCCACTCCGTGCTTCTTCCAGGGCTCCACCATCCCTATCAACCACGCCAGACCGAACCGCAACCTGACCTTGACCAGGAAGGAGCCTATCGGGTGAGTCATAGCACAGGGCGAAGATTCGCCACACACTGGGTGCTTTTCAATGCTGTATGTTGTATGGGCGCTCATCCCCTTTCTGCATATCTATCCAATGTCTATCTGTTCACCAATTACTACAGGCCAGACACTTCAGGTGCTGGAGATACAGCAATGATCAGAACTGATGAGAATGCGTATCCTCAGGGGACTACATTCTAGCAAATAAAACAGCTTTGGCTTCCAAAGTACCTGCTCTGCACCAGGCAGTTTTAATGACTTTACAAGTATGATTTTACTTAATCCCCTCAATAACCCTGTAGCAGTCAGGCTCGTAGAGGGTGCACCTGAAAAATTTTATCTGAGAAGAGTGTAATGATGAATGTGTGCATAAAAACAGAACTACAGCACCAAGGAACAGGAAAAAAATAATAAATAGGCAAAGGATAGGAACCAGTGCTCCACAGGAGAAAGACAAGTGTCCGCTCCACACAGAACAGACTAGGGGTTGGGGAAATGATTTACACCCAGCAGTGAGGGGCCTCGCCTCACCATCAGATGGCCCAATGGCCTAGGGAGAGAGAAGCCCCCTCATGCTGCCTGGGGGCAGCGGAGGGGGTCCCCCCTTGTGAAAGGCAGCTTGGCAGTGACTGTTCAGTCCCCAAATGCACCCCTGCCACAAGGCACAGCTATGGCAGCTCACTGACACCGGTGCGCCAGGAGACCAGCCTGAGAGTGCTCACAGCAGCTGTGCTGGGGCCCTGACCGCAGAACCCAGCACAGCCCCTGCTGAGCTCTGCAGCATCCTTACCAGGGCATGGAGTGCAGCTGTGCGAACGGGTGGGGCAGAGCTAGGGGGACCCCAGGGAACAGCTCCAAGAGAAACTTGCATGAGGAAAGCACACTGAGGAATGTCCTCTAAAATCATCTAAAATGGGTCAGAGGCCCAGTGTGGTCAGCACCCAGCAGGCATTCCCACCTGCTCTGTGTCCCTTACGGTGTGGGGACACCGTGACCCACGAGCAGGGACCTCGCATCCCCATGGATGGTGGCCAGAGGCACTCCGTTTCCTGGAGAACGTGGGAGTGTTTCAGAAGGAGAATGGGTTCCAGTGTCATTTGGATCAACAGAAATGAGCACAGATGAATGAACATGCCAGGTCCTGAAGGACGGGCCTGCTGGTAAGGGAGGCTCCTGTCGGGAGAGTGGCTGTGGACACAGTTAAACCCTCTCCTGTAGCCCACAGAGAGGGGCAAGGCTGGGGGGAGATGGCACGGACTCAGGGCAGCGGTGCCCACCCAGCCTTTCCCCCAGAGGACACGAGATGGAGGGAGTGCTCCAGGACAGCCCCCCACAACAAAGAACTACCCAGCCAAGGCGTCAGAGTGTGGAGTGAGAGTCCTGCAGAGCCAGGGTGCTGGGAGCCCCTTCCTCTGGCACAGGCTATGAGAGGGGCTGCGCAGGGGGACCAGGGCCCAGATGAACACTGGCTGCCAGTCACATGAGTCTGTAGGGTCACTGATCATCCAGACGCCTCTCGGGGAGTCCGTCCTGTCAGACTGAGGAGGACACTGGTGCTGAGCCTCCCAGTGAGTTGGGGGAGCGGGGAGGTTTTCCCTATGTCGGCAGGTGTATGAGTCTGCTAGGGCCGTCCTAACAAAGTACTGAAACAGAAGGCTCAAACAGCACACATTTACTGTCTCGGCATTCTGGGGCTGGAAGTTCCAGATTCAGGTGTCAGAGAGTTGGTTTCTTCTGAGGGTGTGAGGGAGAATCTGCTCCAGGCCTCTCCCCTAGCTTCTGGGGTTTACCGGCAATCATTGGTGTTTCTTGATCTCTGCCCTCATGTTCACATGGTGTCCTCCTTCTGTGTGTCTATCTCTTCACGTGGCCCTGTTTTTATAAAGGCATCAGTCGTTTTGGGTTAGGCACCCACCCTGTTCCAGTAAGGCCTCATCTTAACTAATTAATCTGGAATGACCCTAATTCCAAATAAGGATGTTCTGGAGTTAGGATTTCAACACGTGAATTTTGGGGAGTACAGATAAGCCATGACAGTGGGACTTCCCTGATGTCTTTTTTTCTTGGAGCCCTTACAACCCTGATGACCTCACCCCCTTCCCTGGAAACACTCACTGTGCTCCCTCAGCCGTCTCACCCTGCTGAGTGTACTGGGGGTGGGAGCGGCTTTCCTAACCCCTCAGTGCACCCCATTGCTCCCAGAATGATGTGCCAGCCACCCCCAGTTTGTCCTGCCCTCAGCCTTTGTCCACACTCTTCCCCCTGCCTGGGTTTAGCTAAGAAGTCATCTTTTTGGGAAACGTTCCCATGGTGATGATGATCATGAAAATGATGATGATGAAGAAAACAAGTCATGTAGCCCATGCAAAGTTCTTGTGTGGACAGGCTCATTAATTGTCTGACACTGACGAAGATAGTGCACTGCATTTTACAGGAGTCAGGGGAAAGCAGGGCCACATGCCTACTAGGACCACATGTGTCATCATTAGGCCCCTCAGGACAGTGGGGGGTCTCCCCTTGAGGGATACACTGCTCAGCACAGGCTTTCTCTGGGGCCGAGGGGCACACTGACACTGGGTACCATCTCTTAATGCAAAGTAGGCAAGCCTATCGGGCCTCCCAGGCTGACTGCTTCCTTCTCTCCATGGGACTGACCCCTGGCCTCATGCCTAGGAAGACCCTCACCTGCTTCCTCCTATCCCACCGTGTGATCCCAACCCTCTCCCATATGCTCTCAGACTGCCCGTGTGATCCCTGGCCTTCTCCCAGGCCCTGCCTGCTGTCACCTCCCCACTGCCTGGTGTCATGCCCTACTCAACTATCCCTACGCAGGTCTCAGAGCTCCCCTCAGAAACTTCCCGGCCATCATGCCCTGCTGGGAAGAGGGGCTACTGCCAGATTGAACATACTGCCCCATCAGGGACTTTTGGAAAGGCAGGCATGAGCTATCTCTCAGGGGACTTTTGGCTCCATATCAGGAAGCCCGGAGTGGAGTGGGGTGGAGTGGAGTGAGCAGAGTGGAACAGAGTGGGGTGTTGTGGAGTGGAGTGGAGTGGGGTGGAGTGGAGTGGAGTGGAGTGAGCAGAGTAGAACAGAGTGGAGTGTTGTGGGGTGGAGTGAAATGGAGTGAGCAGAGTAGAACAGAGTGGAGTGTTGTGGAGTGGAGTGTTGTGGAGTGGAGTGGAGTGAGCAGAGTAGAACAGAATGGAGTGTTGTGGAGTGGGGTGGAGTGGGATGGAGTGGAGTGAGCAGAGCGGAACAGGTGGAGTGTTGTGGAGTGGAGTGGAGTGGGGTGGAGTGGAGTGGACTGAGCAGAGTGGAACAGAGTGGAGTGTTGTGGAGTGGAGTGGGGTGGAGTGGAATGGAGTGAGCAGAGTAGAACAGAGTGGAGTGTTGTGGAGTGGAATGGGGTGGAGTGGAGTGGAGTGAGAAGAGTAGAACAGAATGGAGTGTTGTGGAGTGGGATGGAGTGGAGTGAGCAGAGTGGAACAGGTGGAGTGTTGTGGAGTGGCGTGGAGTGGAGCTGAGTGGGTGTCAGGCTTGGGAACGAGGACACCGTTGGCAGGTGCACTCTGGCCCCCAGGCTGTTTGGAGAGACGGAGTCCCCCTTCTTTTGTATGGCAGGGTCTGTGGCATTGTCATCCCTTGGAACTACCCCCTGATGATGCTCTCCTGGAAGACGGCTGCCTGCCTGGCTGCTGGGAACACAGTGGTGATCAAGCCTGCCCAGGTGGGTGTGGGTGTGTTCCGGGCAGGGCCTGTGAGCTGTAAAGGGTATCAGTAAGCACCCTATAAAGGAGATGGGTGGCCCCTTGGCCCCTTTACCCACCCAGGACTGGTTTCTCCTCAAGGGAGGAGGGGTACTGCTGATGAGGGCTGGCCTTCTGTGGGCCCTGTTCACAATGGCGGGGGCAGCATGCAGCAGGGGCCGGTGGGGGCTGTAGGCAGGGTCTGTCCTTTCAGTGGTAGGGTGGCTGAGTCACGTTAGCTGACCCTGTACTTGCAGCTGCTTGGTGAGCAGTCAGAGATTTCTCCACAGATGCCAGCATTCTGGGCTTGGGGGAGCAGAAACCCTGTTTGGTAACCCTTGTCCAGGCCTCATGCTCTGAGACTGAAGCCCAGTCCCTCATAGAGAAGCTACAGAGGTAGGATGTCGGGGTCACTCAGGCTGGAAGGGCCTGAGCAGGGTCCCCCCGGGATGAGGACACCCCCTGCATGAGCCTCAGCTTCTTGCTCTGTATAGTGGCAGTAGCAGCCCCTCCCCTGCCTACCCCCGGGGTGTTAGGAACCGAAGGCAAGATGCTCCATCACGTGGCTCTGGACAGTGTGCCCAGGAGGTCTCTTGCTCCCCTGGCTGCTGTGGGGCAATTTGGCTCCCAAAGTATTATAATATAAAAACCAACCACAACAATAGTTGACATTTACAGTATTCATCCTGAGTCAGGCACTCCTAAAGCATTTTAATACATAACAAACTAAACTAAAAATTTGCATATATTTGCTTATTGAGCATCACAACAACCCTCAGATGACCCATAACCTCCCCCGTTAGCATGGGGGTGCTGCGCACAGATCCAGGCGATTGTCTCTGGAAAAGCGCCTGACAGGCCTGTGCCCTCCCAGGGCCAGCACCCCACAGATGTGGCGGCTCTGAGGGCTGGTGGTGGGTGGGGCACAATCCAACCTTTACAAGGAAAATTACCTGGGTCTGAAGAGGAATGGCTGCTGGCAGGTCAAGAGGAGAGGAATGGCCTCCAGCAGTGAGGCGGTAACCAGAATCTTGCACAGACCACTGCGTGGCACAAGGGGCTTCCAGGCAGTCCTGGGACTCCGCACTCCCTGAGTGAAGGAGGTATGAACATTCAGGAAGGGGCCAGGCCTGGCCACACGGCTGGAGCCTGCCAGGAGAAGGCACTAGAAGGTGCATGAAGTAGCAGGCCTTCCTCCCAGCTTTCCACTGGAGCTGTGGGGGAAGCTGGCTGGGTTTGCAATACCCGCTATGATGGGGCTTCCTCTGGAGGGTCTTCCTGCCATGACTGCTCCTCCCTGCTTGCTACCTAGGCTGCTGGGAGAGGAGGAAGAACCCCACTTCCCAATCCCTCCTGACCCAGTCTTCTTTCCTGCCTCCTCAGGTGACCCCACTCACAGCCTTGAAGTTTGCAGAGTTGACCTTGAAGGCTGGCATTCCCAAGGGTGTGGTCAATATCCTCCCAGGATCTGGTAAGGGATGGGGACATGGGCATCTGGGGGCGCCAGGGCTCCAGGCAGCTGGAGATGCACTTGGTCAGAACAGGGCTTGCTACATGATGTACTCTAGTGGGACAGAGCAACTGGGGGCAGAGTGATCCAAGGGGGGTGGCCAGCCTGGTAGGGAGATGACCCTCTCCCATGGTGGGAGAGACACACACCTGGAAGTGTTCTCGCTTTCAGATGCTTCCCCATTTTCCCCAAAATGCTTTTCCATTTTTTTTTTTTGTATGTAGATATGTGCTCTGGAATAAATTACATAAGTTGGGAATTATCTGTCCTTGGAAGTTGGACAGAATTTATCTAGGCTTAGAGCATCTGGGGAGGTATTACATGAATTGCTTTTTTCGTTTCTTCTGTGGTTAGTAGTCTAGTTTATTGGAAAAGTTGTCTCTTCTTGCACACATTTAAAATATATTGACATAGAGTTGTATTCATAATTTCTTATAAGTAATTCTTTTCTGATTCTCTATCCCCCTTATACTTTTCACTTTTTCTTTCTCTTTTAAAATTGATCAAATTTGTGAGAAGTGCTTGTTTGTCCCCATACTCTCCTCAAAAACAGAAACAAAAACAGCTCTCAAATTTCTTTACCCATTCCATTGCTATTTTGTTTTTTTCCTCTGCTTTCATCATTATTTCCTTCTGTGTTCTCTGTGGTTTTGGGTTTTTTTTGTTTGTTTTTTTTTTGTAACTTTTTGAGTTGAAAGTTTAATTCATTTATTTTTGTTTTTTGTCATTTAAATAAGGAAAGCGTTCAAAGAGAGCTTTGGTTACACCTCATACCTTTTGATTGACATTTTCATTATTATAAATGCCCCTTTTTATTTTTCATAATAGTTTTCGTCTTATAGTCTACTTCATCTGATATTACCATAGATTTCATATGGTCTTTGTTTGCATGATATATATTTTTTCATCCTTTTACTTGCAACCTACTTATATCTGATGTCTCCTTGGACAGCAGGTACTTGGATCTTGTTTTGATCCAGTGTGACAGTCTCTGCCTTTCTGAATGGATTGTTTAATCCATTCACATTTACTGTTATTATTGATAGAGTTGGATTTATGTCTGCAATTTTACTTTTTGCTTTCTGTGTCTCCTGTCTTTTGTTTCTATTTCTCTTTTATGGTTTTCTTTACATTGAGTGAATATTTTCTAGTGTAACATTTTAATTCTTTTAACGATTTTTTCACTATATAGTTTTTAGTTATTTTCCCAGTGGTTACTCTAGGATTTACCATATGCTTCTTTTTTTTTATTTTTTTAATTTTTTAATTTTATTATATTATGTTAGTCACCATACAATACATCATTAGTTTTTGATGTAGTGATCCACGATCCATTGTTTTTGTATAACACCCAGTGCTCCATGCAGTACGTGCCCTCCTTAATACCCATCACCGGGCTAACCAATCCCCCCTCCCCCCTCCCCTCTAGAACCCTGTTTGTTTCTCAGGTCCATAGTCTCTCATGGTTCATCTCTACCATATGCTTCTTAACTCATCAGAAAATACCTCAGATTTATGCTAACAATTCCAGTGAAATATACAAATGCTATTCCTACCTGGCTCTGTTATCCCTACTCCCTTTCACATATTTATCACATATTTCTGTGTACTCTTCACTATGTTACAAACTCAATAGTACATTGCTATAACTTTATATAATTTTATGTCTGTGGAAGAAGTTAAAAAGGAGAACAAATATGTAATTACAGAGTTTGCTATACTAACCTTATTTACATTTCTGGTTCTCTTCATTTGTTTCTGTTGTTGAATTACTCTGTTATCACTTTCTTACTGCATTTCCTTCCTACCTTCTTTCTGCTAATACTGTCAAATATATTTCATTTGTATTTGTTATAAATCCAACAATACAATTATATACATATTATTTTATATAATTGCTTTTTAAATCAGTTAAGAAAGGAAAGGAAATATTCATTTAAGCTTTCTTTTGTAATTATATAATTACCTTTACTGGTGCTGTCTGGTGGATTCAAATTATTGCCTATGTCATTTGCTTTCAGCTTGAAGAACTTCCTTCGTATATTTCTCTCTTTTTTTTAATCTTTTTTTTTTTTATTCTTATGTTAATCCCCATACATTACATCCGTATATTTCTCTTAAGGTGGGTCTGCTAGCAACAAATTATCTAAGTTTTTGTTTATCTGGAAATGTCTTTATTTTTTGAAAGATAACTTTGCTGAATATAAGATTCTTGGTTGACAGTTTTGTTCTTTCAGCATTTCAAATGTATCATCTCACTCCCTTCTGCCTCTATTGTTCCTGAGAGGTCAGCTATTAATCTTATTGGGGTTCCTTTATATACAATGAGTCATTTTTCTCTTACGGCTTCCAAAATTTTCTTTTGTATTTGTTTTTCACCATTTTTACTAAGATGCCTTTGGGAGTGGATCTCCTTATGGTTATTTTACATGGAATTCATTGAATTTCATGGATTTTTAGACTAATGTTTTTCATCAAATTTGGGAAGTTTCAGCTATTATTTATGCTAACATTTTTCTCTGCTCCTTTCTTTTTCTCCTCTCCTTCTGGTACTCCCATTATACATATGTTAGTATGTTTAATGGGAACCTACTGTCCTCTGAGGCCCTTTTCATTAAATTTTTTTCCTCTCTCTGTTCTTTAGATTGCATAATCTCTAACTATCCTCAAGTTCATGGATTCTTTCTTCTGCCAGTTCAAACCTACTATTGAGCCACTCAATTTCTTATTTCAGTTACTGTACTTTTTAGTTCCAGAATTCCTACCTGTTTTTTTTTTTTTATTTATTGCTTATTGTCTACTTGATGAGACATTGTCATCATCGCTTCCTTTATGCATGGTTTCCTTTAGTTTGTTGAACATATTCATAATGGCTGCTTAGAAGTCTTTGTTAAGTATAACATCTGGGCCCTCTCAGCTTATATTGCCTGCTTCTTTTTTTTTCTTGTGATGGGTTACACTTTTCTATTTCTTTGCATGCATCATAGCTTTCTTTGTTAAAAGCTAGATAAGTTAGGCAATATATTGTACCAACTCTGGATACTGATCTTCGTCTTCCCTTTCCAAAGCTTGTTTTCATTATTTGCTTGTTTATGTCTTTATTGACTTGGCTAGGCTATAAAGTGAAGTCTGTTTTCCCTGTGGTGTATAGCCAGTGATGTCACTCAGGGAGCACAGCCTTGAGCACAAGATGACAGCAGTTTTAGTGGGGCTCTCTTTGACTCTCTTTTTCCCTGGTTTCCCTGTTAAGCTATCTGCCTCCTTTGGTATCACACTCAACAGTTCAGTTCCACTAACTACAATCTGCTTGTTCTATTGTTTTCAACAATGCCCTGGGTCATAAATTGCTCTACAATCTGATCCAATTAAATTTGGGCCCCTTTGCAGGGGTAATTTTTGAGGACATCCTTTGAGGTTTATTCTTACCCAGAGAGCTCTTCCCTGGTTCTCTCTGGTAAACTAACTGACCTGCAGTTTACCTCATTGCTGTCATAGAGCTGTCAGCCTTCCCTAATTGCTCACCCCCAAAATCTCCATTGTTTTTCAGAATGCCCTTAGAATTGAACTTTCCCACAGTTTCAAATAAAGTCAATATCTCTGTTCTTATAGAAAGCTTCTCCCCCTGCCCCAAATCACAGAACCACTGCATCAGGTGTTGGGCCCTGTAAGGAAGCTGGGGCTAGGTGGATTAGGTCCCAGTAGTCTCAACCTGCCACACCCAGGTTAGAGCCTTCACTTTCTGAATGGGGACTGAGTGGAAGCCATACTCACCAGGAATTTAGCCTCTAAAACTCAGAGTTGGAGGAGATGAAAAAGATGTCATATCCCTGGACTGGGAGCTTGAGGAGAGGAACCATACCTTCCTGACCACCCCCACCTGGGGTGGAGTTTCCATTAATTGGAGGGAGAGGGGAGATGTGGAGGGAGAGAATTGTTCATGGCTCAAGTACCACAGACTCTCATTGTTCTGCCTGAGAGTTACTAGATTTACTTGAATAAATGTTTCTTTGCTTGCTATATGGAAATTTAGGAAAATTTCCATAGACTTTAAATGTTTTCTTTTAATGATTTTCACCAATTATACTTATTTCCCTGGGAATTGTCAACAAGGCTCCTCATGTTAGCCTTCAGAAGTGACTCCAACCTCATACCTTTTGAGTTTATTGTGTTCATATTTTTATTATTCATTTTTTAAGCTGACATTTTTATTTTATTTAAAAAAAATTTTTTTATTAAGTTCAGTGATTCATTAGTTGCATAACACCCAGTGCTCATCACATCACATGCCCTCCTTAATACCCATCACCTGGCTACTCCATCCCCCCACTTCATCCCTTCTATAACCCCCAGTTTGTTTCCCAGAGTTGAGTCTCATGGTTCGTCTCCCTCTCTGATTTCTTCCCATTCAGTTTTCCTCCCTCCCCCTATGGTCCTCCATGCTATTCCTTATGTTCCACATATGAGTTTTCACTCATGTATGATAATTGTCTTTCTCTGCTTAACTTCTGTCACTTAGCATAATCCCCTCCAGTTCCAACCATGTCTATGCAAATGGTGGGTATTCATCCTTTCTGATGGCTGAGTAATATTCCATTGTATATATGAGCCACATCTTCTTTATCCATTCATCTGTTGAAGGACATCTTGGCTCCTTCCACAGGTTGGCTTTTGGGACATTGCTGCTGTGAACATTGGGGTGCATATGCCCCTTCTTTTCACTACTTCCGATTCTTTGGGGTAAATACCCAGTAGTGCAATTGCTGGGTCATAGGGTACCTCTAATTTTAATGTCTTGACGAACCTCCATATTGTTTTCCAGAGTGGCCGTACCAGCTTGCATTCCCACCAACAGTGTAAGAGTGTTCCCCTTTCTCCACATCCTCACCAACATTTGTTGTTTTCTGCCTTCTTAACTTTAGCCATTTTAACTGGTGTAAGGTGGTATCTCATTGTGGTTTTGATTTGTATTTCCCTGATAGCTAGTGATGATGAACATTTTTTCATGTGTCTGTTAGCCACTGTATGTCTTCTTTGGAGAAGTGTCTGTCTGTTCATGTCTTCTGCCCATTTCTTGACTGGATTATTTGTGTTCTGCCTTTTC